ATTCCCCATCGGGTTTGTGCCGCTGGACCTCGCCCCGCTGCGGGCACACAATGGGAGCACAATGTTTTGCCCTGTGGGGGCACAGCCCGGCCGGGCGGGCACATGCCCCGCACACGGCTCTTTGCCACGCTCTGCCCACACCCACCCACGTGCCGTGGACGGGCAGCACTGCCCGGAGAGGCTTTGGTTGCCCCTGGATCCCTGGGAGTGTCCAAGGCCGGGTTGGAGGGGCTTGGAACAACCTGGGCTGGTGGAAGGTGTCCCTGCCCGTGGCAGGGGTGGCACTGGATGGGCTTTGAGGCCCCTCCCAGCTGGACTCATTTCATCGCTCTATCAGTGACTGTCACTTGGACCTCAGTCTGGGAGGAACGAGGAGTGTTTTGCAGAGGGAAGCAGGAGGATCACCCGAGCAGCACAGGGGCATTTCTGGCCGCAGTTGAACTCGTCTCAACCCTCGTGCCCAGAGCCAGGTTTATGTAAGAGTGTAATCTCCTGCTGTGAATGACATTCTGTGTTTGTACAATGCAACATTTCTGATATCTTTGGGCTTTAGGGCTTGGAAATCCTCTTGTTGAGTTCAGCCCTTGATTAGAAATGGACCCAAAGTCTTTCCACTGGTTTTATTCATCTGTGAGTTTGTGTCTTTAAATCAACAACTTCTCATTATTGTTTTTAAATGAGTTTGGTGTAATTGATTTATAAAATCCATCCTTTGTTGGAAAAATTTGTCCAAGAAAAACGGATGATGAAGTTTGAAAGTGAGTTGACACCATGCTGGTGCCCTCAGGAGGAGAGGCTGGGTACCCAGCAAGGTCTGGTGGCTGGAGAGGAGAAGGTTCCTTTCTGTAATCATTGAATCACTGAATCGTTTGGGTTGGAAAAGCCCTCTGTGAGTCTCCAGCACTGCCCAGGCCACCACTAACCCATGTCCCCAAGTGCCACATCCACATGGCTTTTAAATCCCTCCAGGGATGGGGACTCCACCACTGCTCTGGGCATGAAGGAATTTTCCCTGATATCCAACCTAAACCTCCCCTGGTACAACCTGAGACTGTGTTCCCTCATCCTGTCACTTGTTCCCTGGGACCAGAGCTGATCCCCACTTCACCCTCCTGTCAGGGAGTTACAAAGATCTTTTATTCATATATATATATATATATATATATATATACACCTATATTAAAAAATATATATATTGATATATATAAAAATATATAAATATATATTTTTATTTTATATATATATATATATATAATATATATATATATATAATTTTTTTTAACCAAACTATTTCCATATCCCTGACTTCTTGATTGCAGAAAGATACCAAAAGAATTTTAGATATTTCCTGGTACCATCTATTGGTTACACAGCAGCTCTCGAGGAGTCACCTTTCCCAGACGAGCACCCCATGCTCAAGGTACCATTTGTATCAGTCACATAAACCATCTTCCCTGTGACCTTCACCACAAGAAGTTTCTGTTCCAGCTGTCCTTTGCTAAAATCTCAGACACAGCACCTGAGCTGGCAGAGGCATCAGGGCACAGCAGGGATCTGATTGTCAGTGAGGAAAACCATGAGAGCCCCACTAACTGCCAGTCATTCCAGGAAGAGGAAGGGGCTGCCATGGCACAGTGTTGGCAGAGTGCTCATGGCAGAGGGGTGGCATCAAGGAATCTTAAAGGCCCCTTCCAACCCAAGCCATTCTAGGATTCTGTGTTTGTTGGCAGGGTGTTGGTAGAGCTCTGTCATCAAGTCTCTGCTCCCCAGTTCCTGCTCCAGCTGCAGGTTTCCAGGAGCAGCTGATGCACGCACTGGGCAGCCCAGGGGAGCACATGGACCTACACAGGCCATGGAGCAGCTCTAGAGCAGAAGACACATACCCAGGGTCACCATGGGAGATGCCACCCGACTGCCAGGGCAGGATGATGGGCACAGTGGTATTGGAGCCAAACATTCCCACCCCTGCATGTAGCCAGGAGGGATTAAGGGATTACATTTCACCTAAACACCCAGAGAAACACTCCCAGGGATCATGTCAACAAGCTACATCCAAGCATTTGGACTGCATGATCTTAGAGATCCTTTCCAACCTAAATGACACTGTGACTGCTTGTCGTTCTGTCATACCTTCTGTGTATGAAAAAAACATACCCTGGACTTCCTCTTCAGCAGAAAATGTCAGGATTTTGTCTTTTCCCCCAGGAAACAGCAGCTGCAGGTTTTCCCCACTGTTTGTAAACAGCGGGGCAAAGCCACCTCTCAAGGGCAGGGAAACACTCCTTTTCCACAGACTCGATGGGGTGGATTTCTGCCTCTTGAAGCTTTTAAAGAAGACAAAGCTTTTGTATGTGGTGTGGCACAGCAGAGCAGTGAGGGCAGGTCCGGGCCAGGAGCACAGCAACACATTCCTGGTCCTGTCTGTGGGTAGGGTGGGACTCCCCTCTGCCTTGCAGCGCTGGTGGGGCAAACTCAGCTGCCCACGGTAACCCTGTGTGTGATCTGCTCAGAGCTGCCAGAGCTGGGCACAGCCAGCTGCTGCCCCACGGGAGCACAGCCCTGCAGCCACCAGGGAAAGGAAGAGCTGGGTGTGCTGCAGCAGCCAGGGGAGCAGAATGGCACGAGGGATGAGGGATCCGCTGTCCCTGAGCACCCAGCAGGATGGCACACAGTACACAGGGACCCAGTGGGAGGGTCTAGGCGCTGGGCAGGACCCAGCTGAGCAGGTAAGCACCCTTATAAGGTCAGCCTCTGTAGCATTCAGCAAATTAATTCAAATTTAAAAAGCAATAGCACTGTTCAGAGCGGACACAGTTCTCACTGAAATAAATTCACATTACCCGCTTTGCCCACAGGAGGTAAGAGAAGCAGACAGTCCCTTTGCTGTTGGGAACAAGAAGAGAAAAGGTTTCTCTTGGCTGTTGAGTCTCCAACACTCCCATGATCAGTGAGAACACCTCCACTGCTGGAGGTCCAGAACACCTGGATCCCCAACCCCAAATCCTGGCATCACCACATCACACTGCCCGTACACCCCCCTTCCTCCTGCCCCACTCCCAGCAGGCAGAGCAGGATCCTCTCAGAGTCCTCTCTGCAAGAAATGCTTTTGAAAGAGCTGTTGCAGCTGCTTTGCTCTCTGAGCAGTTTGAGCTCCTTCCTTCCCCGCTGGCTGGGGCCCTGCAGAGCTCAGGGCCCTCACAGACGCCTGTCACCCACATCCTGTTTGTGATCGTGGCCATGAACGTGTCACACTGACATCCTGGGGCACCCAAAGCGTGCTCTCACCACCGCTGGGAGGGCATCACTCCTTGGGTCTTTCTTAAGCCTCTCCACACTCATAGCAAGCCCGTGTCTCCCAAGGTGTGGCAAATTAACCTTCCAAATCAAAGGAATCACAACTTCAGTAATTTAAGGTTCCTTTCTCAGTGCTGGAACTGTTCATTCTCTTTGGGCAGTGTAACAACTCTCACCAGATGTTCTGGTTTTTCTGTCCCAGTTGCTTTCAGACACCCCTACATCTGCCTTTAAGTCAACATTTTGGCCAAATAGAACAATATCTCTCTTTTTTTTTTTTTTTTTTCTCCTTTTAGCTGGCGCCACTGTCAACAAAAAGTAAAATTATCTTGAGACAGCAAATCACAGGCAAAAAACTTGATGCCTAGTGATGAGGTCCAGAGTCCACCTGAAATGCCCCAGCCTGGGCTGGGGACAGGCATCAGCTCCATATGTGTGGTGGTGCAGAGCCCCACTCTGGGCCCAGGGGCTGGGGCTGGATTCACAGCCAGGTTCACCCCCAGACTGAACTGCAGGCACTCAGTCCAGCAGCACGGACAGGACATCAGCCCATATGAACAAACTGCCTGAGCTACTCTCCTGATTGTCCTCTGGCTCCCTTGAGTGTCCTCCAGGCCCCCTATGTGCCCTCCAGATCCCCTGAGTGCCCTCCAGCTCTCCCAGACCTGCCGTATTTCCACCTACTTACTCATTTCCAGGGGCCAGCACTGGCTCTGCTGGCTTACCAGCATTCATGCCTTAGAGGATTGCTGGGAACAGGTTGTTTCTGTTTGAAGCTCACCTCAGAGGGAAGCTGCTGGATTTAGCCTGAGGTTTCTGACAAGCCCAGGAAGGGCTGGCACAGTGGTACCCGAGGGTATGGCCACACGGGCTGCCTGGGCAACAGGAGAATCAGTCACACAAGGTCTTTGAATCATATTCAAAATACTCCCAGTTATATTTGAAAAACATCATCAGGCTGCTTGGGCTGAACAAAGAGCCTGTTTCTGTATACTGAAGGGGAGGGAAATTTCCCTTTTTCCCCACATCTGTGCCCATAGTTATTAAATCACTTCCTACACATTCTCACACCATCCTTACTGCCTGAGGCCTCTGCTCCTGGAGAAATGTGGGCAGGTAATGATCCTCCTGCTGTGAGCAGTGGGAACACAGGCCCAAGGGGCAGCTCCTGCAGCCCAAGGGGTGCTGAGGGAGTAGGTTCCCAGTGCAGTGTTCCAGGAAGGTCACTGAGAGCCACTGACCTGCCACTGCAGCCAGCACAGAGCAGTCCTGCTCATCCCTGCAGGACAAGGCTCTGTCTTTACTTCTCTTGTCTTAAAGAGTTCCATATCTGCTGGCCACACGGAGCTCTTGGGGCAGCAGCACACAGACAGTACCATCTTCCCCTGCACTAACTCTGCAGAAGAACCTGGGGGCATGGACATGCTCAGGAGGGGCCTTTCCACCCCAAATCCCCTGGAATAAGACAGCTTGGCATGGCATGGAATATCAGCACCTGGCAGAGACTGCAGCTGGTCAGATGAAACCGATATACCAGGTTATTGCGAGGTTTGTACAAAGGCTGCCAGGAGATGCCAGAACATCACAGCCTGGGGTCTCTTTGCCTGCTCAGGGCTCCCTCCTCTTCCCAACGGGACTCTGTCACTGGCTCTAGTAGAAGCACTTGCTTTATTAAAGACCTTTGGAAAACACTGACTCCAGTAACAGGAAATAAATAGCTATCAATTTTGCATTCAATTAAAAACTGTTATTAACACTAAAGTTCGCTGAGGAAGTTCTGCAAAGGTTCTTCACATTTCTCACGTTAATGAAGAGGTCCACAGCATGCTCTGATTGAAAAATGAAAATAATTAAACCCTGGAGCTGCGTAAATCTCATCAGTGCTGTTATCTGGAGGAGTGCCCTGCCGTGCCACCACCCTTCACCCACGGAGTGCTCGGGGTGAGGGGCTGCCTCGGTCCCACGTGCAGAGCCCAGACATCCAGGGTGACGCGTGTGACGTTAGACCCGACTCTCTTCCTCTTCCAGCTCCCGGTGAAACCCTGGAATGAATTTCAAAAGGTGCTTCCGCACGCTGGCTCTCCTGCTTTTCCGCGGGAGGGTCCCGAAGCTGCTGGAGTAGCTGCTGCTCTCCCAGAGCGGGGACATGGAGCCGCTGCTGGCCAGGCTGATGCTGCGGTTCCTGCGCAGGGAGCTCCTCCCGGCAGCGCTGTCCCCGTCCCTGGGGAACACGCAGTCATCGTCCGTGCTGGACTGGCGGCTCAGGCTCTCTGCAGCCCAGTCCTCACAGGCGCTGCCCTGGAAAGAGCTGTCCTCGCTGCCCACCGTCATGGAGCTCAGCCGGCTGCGGGAGCTGCTCTCGCTGGAGAAGCGGGGCTTGGCGGGGAAGAGGGGTCCTGGTGAGCTGCAGCCACCGCACGAGCTGGGCTCCTCCAGGTCCAGGGCGCCCAGCAGAGCGTTATCGGTCACCTTCCCTGGAAGCAGGAGGCAGAGAGGAGCATTAGTGACCGCTCAGGGCCAGGAGCAGGATGCTGTGCCGTGGCAGCACGGGGAAGGGCCGTGCCCAGCCCCTTGGCACACGGAGCAGCCCCTCTCCACAGGGGAGGCTTTTTCTGGCTGTGTGAGGTGTTTCCCACAGAATGGGGATCGTACAATCAAACCAGCTCCCTGGGCAGCCCGTAAAAAATACCCAACCAAACCTCTGCCCTGGTAAATCCGAATTAAGAATGGAAAAAAAGCTTTGCCACCCACATAGACTCATTTCCTAGGACTGACGCAAAGACACCTTGGTTTGCATCAGTCAAGCAGCATCAAAGTTCATTACTGCCGGGACAAAAGCTCTGCCAGGGCCAGCCTCACGCCTTGATTAGGAGGGGGAAAGGAAGCAAAAGCCGGCCTGCAGCGGTGGCGTTTCCGAGGCAGCGCTGTGGTGTGGTGCCCGTCCCAGGACATACCGTGCAGCAAGTGCCGCTCCCGGGCCAGCAGCGCCCGCAGCTCCCCCCACCGCTGGTGCAGCGCTTGCTGTGGAGGAGAAGGAAGAGGCTTCGTCACTTCGCAGAAGCACAGGGCACTTGTCAAGAAAACAGCCTCTGAACAGTGCAGGTCAGCTCCAGGAAATGCTCATGTGTCTGGCTTTTACTGAGACAGTTTTCCCGGAGTTTAGCACATTTCCTCCCTAAAACATGAGTCTGCTTGTGCCCAGGGTGCTCTGGCTGAGCTACTGGCCACATCTAATTTGGAAAAAAGGAGCCTGAAATCTGGAGAGCACACAGGCTGAAACCCAGAGAGCATGCAGCCCACCTTCAAACAGTCGTGGCAATGCCAGCACTCCTCCACAGCCCCCCACAGCCCCAGAGACCCTGCTGGGAACGGGCACCCCACTCCTCCTCCCTGGGTCTTGCAGAGTGGAGTGTGGGGGGCACAGCCAACCATTCCTGCCCCGTGCTGAGAAAACACCTGGAACATCCTTACAGCCTCCCAGGGCCACGAGCCATCCAACACCCTGCAATGATTCCCTTCTCTCTGTGGCAGGTCAGCTTTTGGTGTACAATAAATCATGGCAGAGTTGATTAAAAACACCCACCAAACAGGTGAGGCTGTGCCTGGGGACAGGAGGTCCCTCCCCACCAATCTGATGAAGTCTGTGCAGCTGGACATTCCTACAGCCAAACTGACCAGCATAAGCTCTCCTGAGCAGTCGTGGGATTGCAGCCACATTTCTTCTCTATTCCCCATTTTGGAAAAGTAATATCACAGGGACTAGGGCTACAAGTGCTGGGGGTGCTGGCTGCAGGGGACCCACTGGGTGTAAGCCCCTGCCAGGACCCCCAGTCCTGCTGACACACACCTGACCCAGCCCTCTGCATCGACAGCAGAATATCTAATTAATCACATTACCTTGAGGACCTGCAGCTTGGCCTCCAGCTCCATTTTCCGCAGGAACAAGGCCCCATTGACCGTCTCTAACCTGTGGAGAACAAGTGATGGAGGTCTCAACCTGCAGAGACTCTGCCCAGCCCAGCCCTGCCCTCAGGGGTTTTTGCCTCCGAGACAGCGCAGGGCTGGGGGGCAGCACGAGGAGCTCTCCTGGCTTCTGCAGGAGAGAATATTAACCCAAACCCCACCTGAAGGAGGGACACCCACCTCAAGTAGTTCCCTGAAGACTTTATCAAGTCCACTATCTGCTTGTGACCGAAGCCCTCGGTGTTCACGCCGTTGATGCTGACGAGGATGTCGCCTGTTGGAGACACACGGAGGCCAAAATGAGCACCCACAGCCCCTGCACATCTTCCACCTGCTCCTCAAAAACAGGAACAGGGAGAAAGGAGGGTGAGACCTCCCCCAGCAGCAAAACCCATGGATAGTTACCAGTCTGTAGGCCAGAGAGATGGGCAGGACTTTCCTCTTGAATTTTGCAGATGCAAGTGCACACCTCCAGGGAGAAATCGTTTTGGTTTGGAAACCTAACAGTCTGTTAATGCCAAAGGGACAGAGTTACCGACACTGGAGCCATTAAAACCATTTAAAATTCAACAACCTTTTACATTTTTCCAGTGAGAGGGCTGTGATGGGCCCCAAAATGTTATAACCCAACAGTTAGAAATGCATTTGCTCAGCAGAGACACCTGACAGGTTCCTGAATGCTGTGTTTGCAAAAAAAAAAAAATAGGCTAGTTTTAAAGCAAGTTCGTTATTCAAATTATTATTAAAAACTCATTAACTTTAACCAAGAATATCTGTCAGCATGGGTGGGGATGGCTCTCTGGAAGGATGTCTCGTTCCCAGCCATTGGAAGATGGCAGGATGGGACAGGGGCTTTGCAAGAGGTTAACTCCTCCTCACTGGGAATGCTGTGTGGAGGCAGCTGCTGCTGCCAGAGAGCTCAGTTTGCAATGGGAAACAAAAAGAAAGAAGAGTTGAACCTACTTTTGCTATTCCAGCCTCTGAAACTCATCATCCACACACATCCCCACACTCCTCAAAAGTTGACTTACATATTTAAATGTACATCAAGTAACTCTAGACAGAAATCCCTCGTGTGGTTTTGGGTGCTGACATGAACTTAGAGAAAAGCAAAAGCCATCACCACAGCCCCCCTGGAACTTGCAAGGGCAGGAAACGTCCTCTGGTGACATGCAAATAGCTCGGCACATCTGCCTCCAGCACTGAGCACTGAGGCTGAGCTCCCTGAAGACCTGAGGCTGCTGCCTCAAAGCCAGACTGAACAACTCACACTGGATTCCCCATTTTCTCAGTCAGTGTGGAACAAAGGAGGGGAGACTGGGTGAGCTCAGAGCCTATCTGTCTGTCCAAATCCCCCCAGCACAGGATTGCAGCCCCTGGACCAGCAGTAAGACTTCTGGTTAAACTAAGAGCACCGAGGGAAGCCTGAGCTCCCTGCAGATGCAGACCTAAAGTTTCACATCATCTTATTCTGCTTTGCCTAAATTTAACTCATAGTAATGAAAGTACAGCTTCTAAATAATGGTTATCCTCGGTATCAGAGGCTGCCTCTCCACGGCCAAGACTTTCTATGAAGTGCTCACGCTAAACGTGCATTCAGGAAGAAAACGTGCCAAGAACAATTATTTTTAATCAGAATGTCACATACAATGAAAATCTGCCCTGACAGTTTACACAAAAGCCCAATAATCGACTCAATTATCCTCCCTTCTGAAAGCTCTCCTCTGTTCACGAGCTGAGCTCTGACCCACTCATTACTCACAGACCCAAAGTGGGCAAAGTTAAGCTTTGCCTGAAACTCTGATTTCACCAAAAATACTGTTTCTCCTTGTCAGAGTACTTTGAAGGTGCCCTGCTGCTGGCAGGCAGATCCCACTGCTCCCAAACTATAGCCCTTCATTCCTGGGATAATTTTTAACTAGAGCCAGGATTTTACTAGGCCTGCTGATCTAGGAAGTTGCCTTTCTCACAAAAACCTATGGAACAAAAATCTCCCACTAGCTGTACTCCTGATAAAATCCTGGTTTTCCTCTCTGATGATTTACTGACTTCTGCATTGAACAGAATCTCTTCCTATATGATTTAGCCCCCCTCAAAGTTATGCTTAGCAGTCATTCAAAAATACACCAGTATTTTACATCTTCAAAAGTACATACCTCTGTATGTTAAAGGAGGTAGCAAAAAGCCAGTATAAGGTATTTTTTGAAGAGAGTTCTTTTGATTTCTCTCATTTTATATGACAATATTTTCATACACAATTCTCAAAAAAATATTTACCTATGGAGGCAAGAAGGCACTGCCATTGCTTCTTATGTGGATTTGGATGGGATTTCTCTTACATTCAACACTCTGATTTGTGAGAATGCCAGAAATTCTCATCTGTGACCTTTGCTATGAAAAAATCCTTGGAAAAACATCCCAGTTCTATATCAGTGGAATGTAGAAAAGCTCTTTTGAAATTTGACAGCTCTTCGAATTTCACAGAATCTGACAGTTGCTCTCCTCTGCTCTGGGCTGCCTTAACCTGATTTTAAGGATGTGACACTCTAGACTCTGCACCACATTTTGTTTTTTAATGAATCAACTTGTCATTTTAGTCTTACCTGGATTTCAAACCCAAAGGTCTCTTTATCTTCTTTCAATATAGCAACCAGGTGTCTGCAGGAGGAACGCACACAGTTCCGTGTGAACATGGGGTGAAATGCTTTGTGCACCTGCATTTCCAACCAAAACCATCCTGTTCCCACCATCCCCTCTCCCTGGGCCTGGGGGGTGTCCCCACACTGTCCCTCTGATGGGGCAGTGGTGGTGCTGCCTCTTTCCTTACCCAAACTAGCTCCAACCAAAGGCCACCTGCACTACCCAGGTACTGGGTACCAGTCTCTGCCTTACACCCTGATCCCCCTTGAGCTGGGAAGATTCCCAGGACGCGTTTCATGCAGAATAAGACAATAACAGGGACTCTAGAATCATAGAATCATACCTTTGTGGCTTGGAGGAGTCACCCGAGGAGCTGGATCTGGCTAAGGCAAGCTGTGACCAGAAGTGGGAGAGGATAGGGGTCAGTAGGTCTGTGGCTCTTCATAGAATCATAGAATCATAGAATAGATTGGGTTGGAAAAGACCTCCAAGATCATCAAGTCCAACCCCTGATCCAACTCCAATTACTATAGCATGGCACTAAGGGCCACATCCAATCTCTGCTTGAAAACCTCCAGGGATGGTGAATCCACCACCTCTCTGGGTAGGCTGTTCCAATGCTTGATTACCCTCTCTGTAAAGAGAGGCACACGGCTAAAATCAGCAGTTTAGAGAAAAGCTAAAAGCAGCTGGTGGCATCCCATCAGCACCTTCCACCAGCACAGCCTGTGCCTTGGTCAAACGGGAACTGGAACTTTCCAAGCAGGAGGAAAAGCACCCGAAGGTCAAAGCCACCTTTCAGATGCTGGCACTGAGCTCAGTGCCCAAATCACATCTCTGCTGCACCAGGAGCTCACCTCATCTTTGTACCTTTCCTCTAAAAATTTGTGGGCATTTATGAACCAAGCACCTGCCAAGAGAGGCATGAAGCACCCACAAATGTGGGTGAGTGCAGACAGCGAGCTCTGAGTTTCTTGTGGCAGCTACACAGCATTTCCCAGGCAGACACGGGCATCCAGGATCCCTGTTTCAGCCAGTGCCTGGAGAGGTCTCTGGGAATAGCCAGGATGATCGATTCTTCCCATAAAATTGAACCAGGAATAAGGAATGACATTATCAGTGAAACGTTTGTTCAGCAGGATAAAATGGTGCCCCAGTGTGATCTACAGAAACTGGGCATGCCTTTACTTGTCGAGGGACAAGGAGGGGAGGGAGAGGCCACTGAGTAAGAATCCACTGCAGAGAAGGTGGGAGGGCTGAAAGGGGCACACAGGGCGATGGACCCTGCGCAGGGGAAGGGCCCTGCAGTGCGTCCTCGGTTCTGACGTGTGTTGTAACTCAGCTTTACCAGCCACAGCCACAGCACAGCTGTCACTGCCACCCTTCCCTGCCAGCAGCCACCGCCAGACCCAGGGGGACAAGTCACACCCAGGGTGGGTCCATCACACCAAGGGCTGCTCAGCCACACCGAGGGCAGCTCCACCACAGTGCTGGGAGCTGGTGCCACCCAGCAGCAGCATCCCCAGGACTGGTCTGGCTCTGGCTTTCCCTTATGTCCCCACATTTGTACCAAAAAATGGATGAAGTGCGTTTCTGTGGCTGAACAAAGTGAAACCTTAAGTGCACAGATATTACACGCTATTTTTCTGACCCTAATTTCAGACTATAATGTGTGTAAAACACTTTCTATTCAGGCTTCTTCACGTCAGACAAGAAGTCCAGAGCTGGAACTGCTCAGCTGACAGTTCTCAGCCTCAGCAGGACAGTTCTCTGGGAATCCCAGGACAAGGTGAAGCAATGTGGGTGCTCTGTGCTGTACTGGGGGGAAAGCCCAGCAAAAGAGACAGCCCCAACAGCCTGAACAGTTGTACAAAAACAATCCCATGTCCAGATGGAAACAGCTCCTGGTGGGTGCTCCCTGTCAGTGTTGCAGAGCAGAGGACGGTGGGCAGGCTGTTAGACTGGGGTAAATGCACCTTTAAAGGAGCACCCAGGCAGCACGAGCCCCCTGGCTCTCAGCACGGCTGGAAACGGAGAAGGAGCTGAGCAGGAGCTGGATCTCTGCTGCTGCTGCCCTTCACAGGCAGGACAGACACCCTGTCCCTCGCTCCTCACAGAGCTTCCCACACTGCCAGAGCTTCCCACACTGCCAGAGCATCCCACACTGGCAGAGCATCCCACACTGCCAGAGCTTCCCACACTGCCAGAGCTTCCCACACTGCCAGAGCTTCCCACACTGCCAGAGCTCTGCACACTGGCAGAGCATCCCACACTGCCAGAGCATCCCACACTGCCAGAGCATCCTACACTGTCAAAAGATTCCATCGCCATCCCCAAAATGGGCCCAGCCAATGGCACCCAGCAGTCATCCTGCCAGCACCCCGAGCCCAGGGGCCACAGGGAGCCTGCATGGTCACTCGTGGGTGATGCCCAGGTGGCAGGAGGAGCCCCAGCCTCCCACAGCCAGCCCGTACCTGTTTGCGCCCACGGGGCAGCGTGCCCACCGTGCTGGCCAGGAGCTGGATCCGCCGGCCGTCCATGGGCAGTGCCAGCTCCCCGTCAGCAGGGCAGGAGCCCACGGGGTTGGTGGTGTGGTTCTGCTGCAGGAGCCGCCTCAGGGCCATGGTGAGGGGGCTCAGAGCGGCACTGCCAAGCACCGCGCCATGGCCACGGAACTGCAGCCGCCGCCACCGACACGGGTGAGAGCGGAAAGGCCGCCACGTGACCTGTGGTTTAGGTGCACGTTACACAAATCCCTCTCAGCAGAGCCCCAGGCTCTCGGTGTGCCTTGTGCTCACAGGGGAGTTAAGAATCGGGCTTGGCAGTTGCAGAAATCTGCTTAATTTTTCCATTCCTGCGCACAGCAATTCTCACCAACAGCTGCTGCTCTGCCAGGATTTGTCCTCGTGGCCCTGCCTGCCTCAGGCATTCATCTGAACTCAACCTGCTCATTCTCTGACTTGCTCGGCATTCCTGGCATCCCTAGAATCACCTTTTGGCAAAGATGGGGAAAATAACACTGCCTTTGGCTAATGGTGTCAGTGCAGGACTTCCAGTTCCGGAGAGGGAAACGAGAGCTGAAGGCCAAGAGCAGGAGCTGAAAACATGGCAGAGCAAGGGCAGAGCGATGCCCTCAGCACAGCACTTGGATCACAGTGGGGAGCAAGGACTTATCTGGCACAGCAGGTCTGGGGACACACAGCAAAGTCAACTGAGGGGCTCCGGGAAGGGATAGAAGGGGCTGCCACAGCAGAGCCCAGGCAGGCACAGTGCCAGGGCCAGCCCTGGCCAGATGTCATCCCTGCACCTCTCCAGGATGGCCAGGGCCCGAGGAAGATGCAGGGGTGACAGGTGGGTGAACAGGAGGGCAGGCACGCTGTGCCCAGACAGGTGCACACACTGAGTCCACCATCCCCATCTTAAACGTTCATCCCTCAAAAACACGGCATCTTGAAGCAGAGAAACATCCTGTCAGGAAACATCTGCTCCACACACCTGGAGGAGAATTGGTGGCTGATGTGCAGAGGAATCCTGCAGTCCCTGTGCCTCGATGGGGACAGGGAAATGTTGCACAGCACAGCAGCTCTGCAGCAACGAATTTAGACATCTGTCCTTCATCTCCAGTTCCTGGGGGGGAACCCCTCTGGATTAAGGTGCAGGAAAGAGGGGTTTAAAAAGCTCTGCAGGAGAGGGGAAAAGCTCTCTCCTTTTTCGTGAGAGAAGCAGCTGTAGCCCAGAGGGGCATCTCCTCACTTGCACGCTGAGCAATGCGGGGAGCGGGTGACTCAAAGCCACTTCCCCTTTTCCTGCTCACGGTCACCCCGGTGAGCGCTTTGGTAACAAACAAAGCACATTTCGGTTCCTCTGGCAGCCCTCTCTGACGTTCCTGAAACCCAGTGACTCATCTGTAAACAAGTTGAGGGCAGAAACAAATGCCACCTCCCATCAGAGCACAAAGCAAGACCCTGGTGAGAGCTGCCCCAGCAGCCCCGTGCTCGCTCTGATGACCCGCATCCCACACCATCCACACACCCTGCACCCGCAGCAGGCACCCCACAGCCCCACAATGAACCCCACAGCCCTGCCAGGCACCCCACACCACCAGCACACACCCCACAGCCCTGAGACACACCCCACAGCCCCGACACACATCCCACACCCCTCCCTCCCAGCCTGGCCGCTCATCGCTGCTCATGCTCAGAGCCGCACAGATCCTCGCCAGGGGCAGAGGGGAGCACGAGTCAGACCCCGCTGCCCACAGCAGCTGCTCGTGTGTGTCTGGGAGATCACAAGGATGCCCTGCCCCAGCCTCCTCCCCAGCACGGCCCTCGCTCTGTCAGGGCCCGAGTGATGGGACATCTCCCACGAGACAGGCTGATCCAAGCCCGGTCCTACCTGACCCTAAATGCTTCCGGGGGTGGAACATCCACTCCTCCAAGGCTGCTGTGCCTGCAGGGTTTCTGCCCACACTCACCTTACCAGGGCAGGAGGAAGGAGAGAGGAGTCATCCTGCAGGACACAAACCCTCAGGGACTCGGGAGCTGGCTCCTCTGCTGTGCTGCCAGCTGTGCACCGATGGCTCCTGGGCAGTCGGTTTACCTAACAAGAAAATGGGGAATTATTCCAAACCCTCCACCAGCTGCCCCTCCAGCCAGGAGTGCTGGAGCAGGGTGTTTCGGGGAAGCAGGAATTTCTCAGGCTGCGGGAAGTGCAGCGCTGCTCTCCCGAGCGACAGACGCCCACCCGGCGCGGCGGTGGCCAGGGGATGGCAGCCGATGTTCACCGATGAACCACCAGCTGCTGCCGTTCCATCGGGACCTGCTCCAGAGCCCCGACTGCCTGGCCACAGCCAAACCTGCACAGCCAGCACTGTGGCGATGCCACCTTCCTGGAGATGCGCAGGGACCAAGGAGTAAGAATTCACAAGTAATTGCTACAATACAGTGGTCTTTTCAAGGAAAAAAATAAAATAAAAGCAATTTTAAAAATTTTTAAAAATAAAAACAATTTTACACTTCACGGGAACACCAGGGCAGAGTACACTGAATTTATTAAAACAGCCACGTCTTCCCCAAAGTATGTGGGGTGAAAAATCCGCGTACAAAATACAACAGCTAAACCATTATTTACATCCAGGCAGCTGCAATATCGAGCAATAACTTTAGCAATAGTTTTAAAAATAACTCTGCAGTGTACACAGTTCATGTATTTCACAAGATGAGGGTTGAGCACTGCACCACTATACTTATTTCAGAAATATTACAATGTTCCAGATAAAATATTAATGCTTCTTTTAAAAACAGACAACTCAGGAAGTGGTTTGTAGATTGACAAAATATGACACGTTTCTCTTTAGGAACTGAGAACAACAGCAGGTTTAGACACAAACGTCATAGCTACATTCAAAATACATCCAGTCCATTCATCCAAAAATACATTCAGTGTAAGCTACAACTTATTGCACATTTCTTATATTCTGCAGAAATATATTGTACCTCAGTCTTATTCCCTGTACATTCATAAATCGTTCTGCCTGTTAGAGCAGAACTCGGATGCCTTTCCCTAAAAGCTTTTGGGGGATTGGGGTCCCACAGCCCTTGGGGACGATCCCTGGAATCACAGACACACAGCGGAGGGCAGAGGAGGGGACTCGCTCCCGGTGCTGCTGGGGGCACCCAGGTGCCGGCCCAGGGCTCCCCAAGGACACCTCAAGGACAGCCCAAGGACAGCCTGACAGACCTGCACCGAACCAAACAGGGGGGGTTGAGCCCTAATCTTCAGGAACACAAAAATGCTCCTGTTCCTCCCTGCCTGTGAACCCGCAGGACGCGGTGGAGCCTCCACCCCCGCGGTGGGAGCCCTGCAGAAACAGCACCTGTCCCAGCAGCACCCCGGGGCCACACCCCGAAATGGGGAGGCAGTTCACACAACACCATCCCCATGCAAGGCATGAAACACAAACCCCTCCTTCCCAGGAGTGAGGGTGAGCTGGGAGAGCCTCCAGGGGCACAGGAGCTCTGGGCAGACGGGGACTGAGAGAAGAACGTGCCCTGCTCAGAGTTCAAACCTGTTGTAGGGACTGGACATATTTCTAAATAAATTTATCTACAATTCCTGAATTTATTACCAAGGAAAGAAATGGTTTAGCAATGACTAAACTCTTGTAGGGTTTGTTATAGGGTTACATGAGGGAATGACCTTGGTTAAGTGCAAATAATAAAAGTACCCAAGTGCAGAGGAGATTACAGCCTGAATTTCTCAAGGGCTGTCTGGGGGCAGCAGCTCAGGAAACACAGAAAAAATTGGTGCTAGAGGAAACATTAATTAACTTTCCCTTTTAGTCCATAATCCCTGCATTAAGCTTCAGGTTGTTATTAGAAACAAAGTATAAAATATTAGTAACTCCTCCCAAATAGAAGCATCAATTAGGAGAGGCTGAATGTGGTGATGGGGTTTGAGCACCCTTGACCTTGAAAATTTTTATGAGTTTAGGAACTTGTGAAGATTAGCAGGTGCATTGTAACCTCAGAGGAAACCTAAGCCTCCCCAAACCGCACAGAAGTGTCTTGGCATAACCTGTGCGTAAATTAGAACCGGACAAATCCACATGGAGGGGAAAGGCCACTAAAACAATGGTTCTTTGGGGTTTCTTTAAAGGAGTGTAGAGTTTGCAAACATTTCAGAGCTCAATACAACATCATCAGCCCTTGGCTCAGTTATGTTTTAACTATAGTCTCAACAACAAAAGAAAAAAGAAAACCAGTGCAAAAATACTGAGTTAGGTGAAAGGCCAGGACAAACAGACCATAATATCTGATACCTTGAGATATGTGCAGGGGAAGGGTTAAAGTGTTCCTGGGGCTGGAGCTGTGACATGTGCAAGGGAGCTGAGCCTGAGAATCCTCCACCCACACCTCCCAGCTAGGCACCAAAAAGGTCTTTTCAAATTACAGGGCTGATCAACAATCTTCAGAGATGCCAGAATGGCAACTGAAAACTGAAACCCTTCCCCCACTTAAAAAAAAAAAAAAAAAAAGTATCTTCGAGTGTTCCTCTTTAAGATAGGGAATTTCTTTCAACTTATGCTCTACAAGAACAAGTGCTGGATCTTAGGTTTGCAAATTTTTTGATACCCAAGTCAGCATCATGCTTTGGATCATGCTGAAATTACTCCTCAGGCAACCTAGAAAGTCACATCCACTGAGCTCTACGGGGCAGTTCATGTAGTTGAAGCACATAACAATTAAATCACGGGGTGCCTTGGGTTGGAAGGGACATTAAAGCCTGTCTTGTTCCCTTCCCTGCCATGGGCAGGGACACCTTCCACCAGACCAAGTTGTTCCAAGCCCCATCCAATCTGGCCCAAATCTGTGAGACACCTTTGGTTATACCTCAGAAACCACACTGGAGAAAAGTCTGCCAGCAATTTAAGGGAAATATTCTCCACTGCTCAGCTCCAGAGCACAGAATGACCTGCATAATTTAACACAAGCACCTGTGCAAACACATCAATTGCATCAGAGCCTATTTATGGGCAATTAACAGCCATAAAGTATCCATAATGTCCTGGAGATGTGTGTCAGGAAGAAACCCAGAGTGCTGATAGTACAGATCACCCCACTCAGTAAAAGTTTGCCCTGTTTTTCCCTGCAACAGTTCCAGTTCAAGAGATTTTACACCGAAGATCAATCTGACACACTGTGATCAGCCAACGATTGACTGCCAGGGAGCTGCGTGGGCCACACCAGATTTTTGCAGAGCTTTGCTATCCTGGAAACATCTTTGGGCTTAATTTCCATGGACCAGCTGGATTTAAAGAACCTTATGATTATGAAATGTATAATTTAGGCTATTAAAAATATTAGAATACTACATTCAAATATGTGGGCCATGGAGTGGGGGAGAAGCATCAGTTCACAAAATGCCAGAACATCAGTGAATTCTGATACAACACCTCACTTTGATGGCTGTGGAATTATGGAAACATGATCAGAGATGCTAATACTCATCACCAGCCTGGTTGTGTTACAGAATTCCATAAGAAACCTCTGAAAAGGCTTTATTGGCTTTTGTTAAAGCTTCCCCCAACACATCAAAAGGCACTAAAAAAAATGTTACCAGTGATTAGCAAGATTTTGTTAAAAATAAATATTTTCTCTGTTTAGGTAGAATTTCTCCCACTTTACCCCTACGTAACTAATGGAAAGTATTGCCTCTATTATTTTTTCTACAAACTGTTGGAAAGAAAAGTTATCCCTTGGTTGATCTGTTCAACAAACAAATAAACAGAGTAAAACAACTGAAATCCTAACCATAATATTGTACATGAAACTGAGACAATAAATATAAATGTTAATAGAGAACTGTCTCGATGGTTTTGTTCACAAGGTACACCCTTAGTGGAATTTCCATCTTTTTTAATTGCTTAGGTAATAATAAATATAGTCATTCAAAATGCATTTACTGATAGCCCCTTTTCAGATTCATGCATAAAAATAGGAGAAAAGCTGGGCTAAATTTGGTCTTTTACTTGATTCGAGGACAGAACAGGAGGGTTTTTTTTGCTCACAGCTTTAACCAACACCACACATTTCCAGGACATTTGGGGTCTGAGGAGGATGAAAAGTGCAACAGCAAAAGGCGTTTTTACACTGCTGCGATGCTTTAAGTTCCTTCCTGCATTCGCCTGGTGTCCAATTTACTCACAAAACCAAAGCAAGTCACGGCCTTGCCGTACCAAACCCGAGCTTTGAGTCCCGAGCTGCCTCTCGCCACGGCCGAACGCGCCGCCGGAGGCCAGTGCTCCGCTGCGGGCACTGCAACACTGAACCACGTTACCTGAGGTAGACCAGAAATGACAATACTATCACACGTGGAAAGATGAACAGCAGAGTCCCTTCCCGCCTCCTGGCGCGGGGAGGCCGGTCAGGCTTTGGAGTCCTCCTGCAGGCAGAGCTGCGAGACGGTCTTCTTGACGCGCAGGGCGGTGAGGCGCGCGGCGCCGCTGGCGTGCCAGCACTCCCGCATCAGCCGGCCCATCACCCGCAGCGCCTGCACACACAGACACACCCGCCAGCTGGGAGGGACCCACCGGCATCATCCACTCCAGCTCCTGGCCCTGCACAGACACCCCAACCATCCCCCCTGTGCCCCAGAGCATCTTCCACCAAACCCTCCTGCAGCTCTGGCAGCCTTGGGGCTGTGCCCACTGCCCTGGGGAGCCTGTTCAGTGCCAACCACCCTCTGGGGGGAGAACCTTTCCCTGAGATCCACCCTCAGGAGTACAACCGGCACCTCCCGCTCTTTGTTTTGCAAGTGCAATACAGGAAAATAAAGTGCAGCTCTCTGAAACAGTGACACAGCAGCAGCAGCGTTACTGAAGATCCACACTGAAGAGAGTTGAGCACTTGGTGCAAAGAGCTGAGCTGAGAGCTGAAGGACAGCTACACATCTGAAATTCAGGAGAGGATGGGCACCGAGTACCCTGTTTCTCACTGAAAAAATTCTGCTTTAATTTAAATTCAAAAATATAAATAATAAAATAAAACTAGAAAAAATTAACTAGAAACTAAACTAATAAACTAAATTAAATTAAAAACACAAAACAAAACAAACAAAAAACCACCAACAACAACAAAACCACAGAAAACTGGTTTTACCTCACAGCTTTGCCACTGGTTTGGAATATTGGGTCTGAGCTTCTGCTCACAGACAACCCTTCTCATGTCTTCTATTGAAGGATCAGAAGGCACAACATCATAGTAAGGCAACTGGTATTCCTCGGTGATTCCTAGGGAACATTTATTGGGGAAGTAACACAAAATACAAAGTACCTGCTCCACAACTAACTCGAATTGTTTCTACAAGCAGTGAGAGAGAACAGAGGACCTTTGGGGGCCACCTTGAACAACAGCTCCGTGACATCTTCTGTCCCCACTTACTGCTGCAGTAACCAGGAGTGCTTTGGTTTTACTGAAGATAAAAGTGGTGAGGATCACAAAATGAGCTACAGCCAGCACTGGGGTCCCCAGCACAGGAGGGACCTGGAGCTGCTGGAGAGAGTCCAGAGGAGGTCACAGAGATGCTCCAGGGCTGGAGCCCCTCTGCTCTGGAGCCAGGCTGGGAGAGCTGGGGGGGTTCCCCTGGAGAAGAGAAGGATCCAGGGACACCTGAGAGCCCCTTGCAGGGCCTAAAGGGGCTCCAGGAGAGCTGGAGAGGGACTGGGGACAAGGCATGGAGGGACAGGACACAGGGAATGGCTTCCCACTGCCAGAGGGCAGGGACAGATGGGAGATTGGGAAGGAATTGCTGGCTGGGAGGGTGGGCAGGCCCTGGCATGGGTTGCCCAGAGAAGCTGTGGCTGCCCCTGGATCCCTGGAAGTGTCCAAGGCCAGGTTGGACGGGGCTTGGAGCAACCTGGGCTGGTGGAAGGTGTCCCTGCCCATGGCAGAGGGTGGAACGAGATGAGTTTAAGGTCCCTTCCAACCCAAACCAAGCTGGGATTCTGTGATTGTGTGAAAAGGCAGCTCACCTCCAATGGAGCACCTGCGGGCTATCTCCCAGTACACCAGCCCCAGGGAGTAAATGTCTGCTCGTTTGAAGGACTCGAAGATGCTCATGTTCATGGTGTCATCCAGGATCTCGGGAGCCATGTACCTGGGGAGCACACGGGGGCAGGTTGGCTCCTGCAGAAGGCCACGGTTACCCTGCCATGTGCCAGGGCCAGGTGACCCCTCCTGGCACTGGAGCCATGCCCTGACCAGGCCCAGATCCGTGCCAGAGCCGCATCCCAAGCGGGACAGGGAGTTCCATTCCATGGGAACAGCAATCACCTCCCGCTCCCACCCAGCGTGGAGGGGCAGGGTCTGCGGGACCCCCGGCCGATACCGTCAGTGGAGGGGACATCACTGACAGAGGGGAGGGCTGGGAAGAGCTGTCCCCATGGAGTGAGCCCGTCTGGGGGCTGGCAGCCCCACCTCCTGGTGCCCACGCGGGGGTTCTGGGGGATGTCGATGGTGTTCAGCACCGAGTCGTGCTTCACCGCCAGGCCCAGGTCGGCGATGGCGCAGGTCTCGTTCCTCTTCACCAGGATGTTCTTGGATTTCAGGTCTCGGTGTGCGATCGCTGGCTTCCCTGTTCACAGGGAGAGAAACCGCCTCCAATTTTGATAAGAACGGTGTGGATTTTAATATAATGAGCAAGGATGTGGAAACAGTTTTATTCACTTTTGTTACTATTCCCTATAGAAACACTGAAGCCTATTTTGAGCAAGCAAAGCTCTGCTAAATGCTGTCAACTTCAAAAGAAAACTTCCATGGCATTTTTGTTTCAGTATCTGTGTTTCAGGAATAAAACACACAAAAAAAAGAAACTGGAAGTTCACCCTGCAAATTAATTTATAAAATTACAGAATCATGGAATGGCTTGGGGTGGAAAAACTCTCCAAGATGACTGAGGCCATCTGTTCCCAGAGCACTGCCAAAGCCACCACTAACCCATGTCCCCAGGTGCCACATCTACACAGCTTTTCAATCCCTCCAGGGATGCTGACCCCACCACCTGCCCGGGCAGCTGTGTCAGAGCTGAACAGCCCCCCTGGGGAAGCTTTTCCTAATTTTTCCTTCGTTAGGGCTCACTTCTCTTTAGCACAGCTGCTCCCACAGGCATCCACTGAAAGCCATGGATGAGGTGCAGACAGCAGAAGTGGGAAGGTGACATCCCTGTTGCCCTGCAGCGCTCACACACCATTCCTCTTGGTGTGAACAGTTTGGAAGGCGCTTCACGATCTCACATCACCTGTAAATGTTCCTGCAAACAACACCGAAGCTCCTTAAAATACCGGAAGGACAAGTGGGAGGGAAACACTTGCCTTGTGTGCCAACGATCTCCATGTGGAGGTGGGCCAGGCCACTGGCCACCGACAGCGCCAGCCTGACCATGCCCTCCACCGTCACCGTGCCCCTGTTGAGGTAGTCGAACAGCGAGCCCTGCTCGTGGTACTCGGAGACAAGCCAGAGCTGAGTCCACGTGCCGTTATCTGCCCGGGGGAAGCACGGTCGTTAAAAACGCTGTGTGGGCAAAGCCTTCCCTGGAGAAGCCCCCGGTGCCCACCCCGCCCCGTACCCTTGTTGTCGGCAGCGATGAAGCCCAGGATGTTCTCGTGCCTCAGCATGACCGTCTGGTAAATCTCTGCCTCCCGGAACCAGGAGCGCTCGTCTCTGGAGGAGAAGATTTTCACAGCCACGTCCTCCCCGCACCATTTCCCGCGCCACACTTCGCCAAAGCGGCCTTTTCCCACAATTTCCTGCAGGACAATCGTCCTGGCAATGGTTCTCTGGACCAGCAGAGGCAAACCTAGTTAAAAGGAGAGACAGGGACTTGGGAAATAGCTCCACTGTGATCCTCAAACCCCAGCACTGCCCTTTACCAGTGAGCTGCGTTCGTGGCTTTGTTTTCCAAGCCTGCCAGGGGAAAGTCCTCTCCCCACAATATCTCCCCAAATCAGCCTTTTAGATGTTACTTTTCGGTGTCCATATATTTAAAAAATATTAAAAAGCCCCAATAAAAATTAAAAACTAGGCCTGAACTATTCAGTTTGGTGTGATAGGAATTGCAGCTGTCCTACAATCAATTAGTTGCTCTGCTCTGACTGATATTTTCAAAAATAAAGATAAATTATCATAGCAGCTCCACTGTCCTTTGCAAGCCATAACCTCTACCTGTTTGGTTTGATTCTGTGTTTTCTGGGGACTTAAAATAATTTTTTTTTTTTATTTAAATCAAGACAACCTTAATTTTGGCTGAAATCAGACCAAATTGCCCCACTGCACGGGGCTCTGGATCATCACAAGCCCAGGCCTGTTCCTGGCTCAGGGATGGCTGGGAAGAGTTAAAACTTCAGGGTACATAAAGCCAAAGTCTGCTCATTATAGCAGTGAAAAAGCATTAGGGAAGAACAACAAGTTAATCCTCAGAAGTATGCAGCTCATGGAAATAAAGTCAACTAAGTTAGGCACCATTCCTACATTTTTCACTTATAAATAAAAGCAAGCACAGTCTACATATTTTTCAATAAAAGCTGTAATTAGGGAAAGTTGTGTTGTACACCCCAGATGTGCCACTGGCCAGATGAGCTAAAATATATTAATTCCAGCTCATTTTTGTGTTTCTTTGGTTTAACAACTTCTCCATTGCAATGGAGGCATCACAGTAGACTGGCTATCAGAAACAGAAAAAAATGTGGGCATTCTGCTCAAAAAAAAGAATTTTGGGTAACGTTGTTTTACAATAGAACACTAAACATTTCAGAAGCAGCATCCTGACTCAGGTGAGTTTAGGACCTTTCATTATCAGCCAGCAGCATTTGCTTCCACACTTGAACCTGATTTCCGAGCTCACTCTTTTAACTCTTCCACTCCAGCCAAGACCAGAACTTTTGCAGTCGGACAGAAGGTCACACAGCATGGACCCCACCCCCCCTGGCGTGCAGGGCAGCCCACGTACCGGAGCCGGAGCCGGAGGTCGTCATGTCGTAGATGAGGTCCCGGAGGGTCTTGCCGGAGCTGCCCAGGTTGGCCTCAGACAGGGGATCCTCCACGCTGGGCGCTTTGCGGCCGCGGCGGGCACAGCGCCGGCGGCCCCGGGAGGAGCAGGCGGCCAGCACCGCCACCAGCACCAGCACACACACCGGCACCGCCACCGTCACCGCCAGCACCGCCGGCCTGCCCGCCCTGCCGGGGGACTCGGACGCTGCGGGAACACGAGCGGGAGGGGAGCAGAGCGTGAGTGAAGGGCTGCGGAGGGACGGCAGGGACAGGTTCAGTCACTGCTCCCGGCCACGAGGCAGAGCCCACTCCTGTACCACATGGAGTCCTTCCCCACACACTTTCTGTGCAGGAAGCTTGGTCTCCTGATCACCAGCCAGCACCACTGCCTCACATCACCCCATCCCGTTCCTCAGGGAACACCAGAGGACACTCAGCAGCACACAGCTGGCCCGTGGGCTCAGTGTCCTGGACTGGAGCTGCAGATGGTCCCTGATGCCAGCACAGGGACCAGCATTCCCACTGGAAAATTCCTGTCCCTGCCAGCCTGGCTGTCAGCTCCAGCAGGAACGGTGGGTGCCGTTGGGAGTGGTGCAGTGGGAGAGAGCCTGCGGGAACATCCCACACCTGCAGCTCCTGGTCCTCCTGCTCCTGCTGGGAGCCTTGGCCACAGCCCACTCACCTTGGCTGGAGAGTCCTGCCACTTCTTTAGCATGGGCTGTGCAGCTGCCCCTTCTCACAGTGTGCTCACCACTGCCCTACATCCCTCCCAGCCTTTCCAGCTCCTTCCTTCTCTTCCCTCCTTCCTGCAGCTCCCTCTGCTCCAGAGTAGCACTCTTTCTAGAAGAAATACCTCCAAACCCAGCACTGTAACTCCTGTATTATAGTCAGGGCCATCCTCAACCCTGAGCCCATGCACCAGGTGTCCCGTGGCCAGCACATCAGGTGTTCTGCACACACCCCTGGGGGGTCAAGGGGCTCCCCACAGCTTAAACCACACAGGGGAGTGACAAACACCACAAACACAACACACACCCCACGCCCAGGGTGCCATTAAAGGCCACACCAGCGTGGTGACATCCACTGCAGTTGGGCAAGGTCAGACTCCTGGGGAAATCCAACAATCCCTCAGGACCACCCAAACCCAGCAAAACAACACCATTAATCCCATTTTGCAATCCTATTTTGAATGTCCTGTTCATTGACTGGCTAACCAAGAATAGGAGCTGACACATGTTGCCATGTGTGAACCAGAGGCAGCACATCTGGCAGTACTCAGCAGTTTCACAACGTGGAGTAGTTTTGGTCCAAGTTGTGCAAACAAAATAGTACTTGTAGGCAGCAAAAAAAAAAAAGAAAAAGGAAGGATTTTTTTTCCCCTAAAATGGAAAAGACATTCTCACACACAGCCATTTGCTTTTGACTCGTAATGAGCACTGTAAGGTTTGCAAAAGCTCTGAGCTCTGTGTGTGCAAGTTTCTAGGCTACTCAGGGAGCAAATTACATGTTCTTTCCAAGGCAGTAAGAAAATGTACTGCATTAATAGGGGGCTCTAGTCAGCTCTACAGAATCCTTTTAAACCACTTCAAAAATACACAATTTGGGCTAGAGTCTAAAATTAAGATTCTCCAGTTTCCACTGTGACTACAGACACCACTCACAGTGGAGTAGGGGAAGAGATCACAAGCTCTGTCTCCCAGACCCTAAAGGTGGCCTGAAAATCCTGTGAGACACAAGTCTACAACTGAAAGAGCCTCTGGATCTGACCCACAACTCAAACCAGCCTGTTCCACACTGAGGGCACAGAGCTGAGTTCTGCAGAGAAAATGAGAGTGAGGGATGTTTCATCAAAGGGAGGACCCTCAAGGCAGCAGCACACAGAGCATTTCCTCAGTCCTGCTGTGACATCCCACTGACAGGAGAAGCTCACCTTTAGCTGGGGCAGAAAGTATCCCTGTTAAACCAGTAGAAGCCCAAAAAGGAATTAAATTAAAAAACAATTACAGCAAACTCATCCTGCACTTTGAAACTTTCTCCTGCTAATGCAAAATACTGGAGTGAATTCCCTGCTCACAAGAAGGAGGATATAAAAAGCAGAGATCCAGGCTGAATCTGTCCTCAAAGATACCTATTTTCAGACACTGTAGAAACAAACAGACAAAAACCAACCAAACAAACAACAAAAAAAAACCAACTCAAATGAACAGCCAGTTCCTGTCCTCCAGGGCACCAACCAGGGCAGCAACCAGAGCCCTGCTCTGACTGGGCATTGCCACCTGCAGCTCTGCCACGGGAATTCAGGCACAGGCACCAAAGCACCCTCTAGTTTTGTAAGTGCCTGTTCAAGTGCTGGGATGACAGATGTGCCTCCACTGCTCCTCTAGAAATAGCAGCTTTAACCCAAGATACCAGCATCCCAGCTTGGGAAAACAACAGCATGGTGCTTTATTTCCAGAGCATAACCACAGTTAGGGTGTCCCTTCTGTGGTCAACTGAAAGAAAGACACTTAAATAGTCCTTATTCCTACCGCAGAGGACAGGTGAGGGTGGGTACCAGGGTTCAGCAAGAGGTGACAGTGCCTGAGGCTTGCCTGAGGTTTGCCCCCCTATGTTTATATGACATAGCAACAGTCTTTCAAACTCCATTCAGAACTGTACAACAGCAGCTTTGCACATTTTAAGCTGTAACATCTCTCACTGGTGTAAGCATAAAAAGGTATCCACTGATAAAGCAGTATATTTTACAGGTTTTTCGAAAAAGCCTGGATTAAACACAAATCTTGCAAAGAAGAGTTAAAATATTAAATCTATTTTTCAAAATCACTGAATCAACTTCATTACACAACTTTGAACCTGGCAGACTCACACACTGCACGTTTTCTACCATGTGTGGAGATGTTGGAGGCTGGAAGGCCTCAGGCAGGGCAGAGGTTCTGTTATTCCCTTGCAAGACCCCAGATAACAGCCTCTGGCTCCTCACAATTGCTAATTCACCAGTGCCTCCAATACCATCATTCCAATATTCAGCCTAATGCCAGTTCAAGTCACAAACTTCCTGAAGATACACCAGCCCATAGAGCTTGTGAGGTTACAAGTGCTCTTCAGACACTTCTTAGAGTCACAGAGTCATGGAATCATAGAACATTCTGAGTTGGAAGGCACACACAAGGATCACTGAGTCCAAATCCTGGCCCTGCACGGGATAGACCAAGAACCCCACCGTGTGCCTGAGAGCACATCTTCACATCTTCCTTTCATCTTCATGTTTAGTGCTCATGGGACCCAAAGGCAGTGTGTGGAGACCTTTACAAGACACAAGAGATTCCCTCTCCCCCCGAGCTGCAGTTTAGATTGTCTGAAACAAGCTGGGACAAAAGCATCTGCTGTTTTGCAGCCAGCCTGTAAAGCCCCCATGGGCTGGCTGCCGTGGCTGTGTCCCTGCACGGCATTTCCCCACCCTCAGGTGTGACAGCAGCGCTCACACAGCACTCACCGAGGGGCAGGCGGAGGGTGATGTTGTTGCAGAAGTCGGTGTAGCAGCACTCGGTCTTGGTGACGTTCTTGGAGCTGTGGCAGAAGACCTGGGCGTTCAGCTCGGGGAGGGACACGCAGGACTTGACCACCTCCTCGCGCCCGTTGGTCAGCATGACCGAGGCCCAGCACGCGCCCTCCGTCTGGCACGTGAAGTTGGTGTGTTCACACAGCTGGCACACGCACTGCAGGCCTGCAGAACAGGGGACAGCACTCAGGAGAGGACCCTGGGACAGCAGAGCC